CCTTCCTTCATTTTCAGTTTGGTCAGTCAGCATTCTATTATTAGCTTCTTGGGTTCCTCTATGTGTTAGTCAGCAAGGAGTGCCTTACTTGGACTAAATGCCAAATAACAAATGTTTAGATAACGCTGGTGACACATTTTTAATATTGGGTAAAGCTATTTGAACAAACTTATATGACATATCACGTGATATTAGAGGTTATATAACTTAATATCACGTTAATATTTTTTTATAATCAAGAGTATTTGAGTCAGCTTAAATGCACTCTGATTAATCATTTCAAGTATTGAAGTTAACGATTAGGTATACTCTCCAGTAGTAATTTCTATTACGAATCGAGATGACTTGAATTTAGGACCTTTTGAGTAATACACCTAAAAGTCTTTATCCAACCACTCGACCACCTAAAGGTGGTTATTTATTATTATTATTTTTTTAATAAGGTTCTATAAATAGGATTTAAAATACGTGGAAAATTCTTCTTTTACTTCTTCATAACATTATAAACTTGTAAAATAATAAAATATAAATTGATTATTAGTGAATTATTGTTACTTGTTGTGATGTAGTTTTAAGTAATTATTTTATATAATTACCATCTACACCTAAACCCAAACTTGAGGTTCATACAAGTAAAAAGGGAATATTAGTCAGAGTAATACTATACCCACAATCTCACAACCCCGACGTTGAATTATGACTATAGGAAGTATCTGAGAAGAGGTTGTGAGTGTAACATTTTCCTATCAGTTAATGACTAATTTTAGTTTGTTGATAATCTTCATGCCCTCCAAACTATATGTTTTGGTTCATCAAATAGCTACTCATATACATTTACATGTTAATAATGTGAGTTAAATAATAGTCAACAAGAGTATTTAAATAGTAAATTACTATTAGATAGCTTGATGATAAAAGAGTAAAAAATGATATAAATTTATATGACCTATTGAATTCGAGTTCAAGTCCATATAACTCATAATAAAAATATCACTAAAATAAGTCTATAAAATTAGAGAATAATTTAATAAATAGAACATGATTAACATGATATTGATATAAAAGTAATCTTTCTTTAAAGATTAAATTGGATTAAAAAATGTGTAACATCACTCATAGTCGAGTAGGTTCTAAAGGATTCATGGAAGCATGGCTGGCCCTGGCCTAGTTAAAGTACATATAGGGCTTTGGTGGGTAGAATGTTGACATCAAATCATTTTACGAAGAAAAGTGTGGAGTTAAATGCATTATTAAATATGCTCCCAAGTCCCAAGTACACCCACATTATTAAAGTTCAATTTGTACTCAATTTATCTTAGATCTAAAATTGATGGATTCTACCCTATACAAATATATTATATTAATACTTTCTTTAATAGGAAAATACATTACAAATGAATTGAAACTTTTTAAGCTAAGTGAGATATATACAATAGTTTTCAGAAATATATATATATATATATTCATTACTCTTAACATAAACTTTTTATTAATTATTGCTTAGTTGAATTATTGTTAGGGTTTCCGTTTTTCGGAATTTGAAGATGAATTAGGGTTATTTTTCTTCATTATTTTTACAAAACCCAAAATAAATTTAAAACTAAATATATCTAAATTTATGAAACACTAATAATCAAGTATATTTAGAAATTAGATTATCAAGTTTATGCAATTTCCATAGAAAGTAAAAATAACTTTTAAATTTTGGTTTTCTCAAACGTGAAAATAATTTATCAGTCTTTTAGGTGATTGATATACGATAGGATGAGAGTGGTTGGTAAACATGCATAGGAAAATCAACTATCAGTAATACAACGTGAAATTCGTCGTCACCTTTCAAACATCAAAATAAAAAACGTCGTTTTGGATTGTTCCGGTGGTTCGATGATGACAAAGTCACTCTATTTATCTCTATTTCTTCATTCCTATCCTCGCTTCTAAACCATTACCTCTCTCTCCAAACATTATTGCTCTGCTTGGTTCCGACTTTCGAGAGAATCCAGGTCAGAAAATAAAGGCAAAACGAATGTATGTGTTTAAATATACTCTACTTATGACAGTTACACAGTTCGAATCCAGTTTCAAAATCTCAAAATATTCTTTGTTTGGTTGATGGGAGACTCATTAAAGAAAGAGAAGGGCTTATTTTTTTTGTTAAAGTTTGAAGTTTTTTTAAGTTACCAAAATGGGAAATTTGCATCTTTTTCTTTTTTTTAATTTTTTGGCTGATGGTTTTGCTTATTGTGGGTAAAAAATTGATGGGTATGTTTTGTATTGTCCACAGTCTGTAGTTTTGAAGTGAGAATCGATGGGGAGTGCCTCATCTATGCTAACTCAATATGATATTGAAGAGGTTCAACAGCACTGCCATAATCTATGTATGTTTGTTTTATACTTGTTTATGTTTTGTGTTTCTTTTATTTTTTATTATATATTTTTGCTGAAATTTTTAATGTGTTTTTGGTGTGAAACTCACACAGTTTCCCAGCAAGAAATAGTTTCATTGTATCATAGATTCTGCCAGCTGGATAGAAACGCTAAAGGGTTTATCTCAGCTGATGAGTTCTTATCTGTGCCTGAATTTGCCATGAACCCACTTTCTCAGGTACCCTTTTGAAAGTTGCTGTTTAGTTGATGGAGTTTCAGTGATTGTTTTTAGTTTATTAATTTGAGACCTTTTGGCTTTTTGGGGGGTTTTTGCAGAGGTTGCTTAAGATGGTGGATGGGTTGAATTTTAAGGATTTTGTGGCCTTCTTGTCTGCATTTAGTTCTAAAGCCAGTATGCAGCAGAAAATTGAGCGTGAGTGTTAATAACCTTGCTTTGTTCAGCATTTAATGACTTTAATGCACATGTGGGGTTAAATTACATAGTTTTGGAAGTTGTATTGTGGCACAAATGAATAGTCTGGGTTCTGATGCAGAATCCTAAGTGAAATATGTGGTAATGTATAATGAATAATAACAGGCCCCAATTTTGAAGTAAGTTTCATTTCTTTGTGCAAAAACTCATTTAGTGGATAGTATTAGATAAATATAAGAATCAGGTTATATATGTAAAATAACCATCTAATCATCTATGTAAAGAAGAATAAGCAATCAATAAACAAGGCTTTGACTGGTAAGTTTTAGTCATCATACAAGCTTAGTAGATATTTTATGTTTCATTCATAGTCTTAATTTTTTGGTTATCATGCTCAGCGTGACCACAGAAGTACTATCTCGACTACCTAGGCTGTTACTCATCTACTATATGTTTGAGGAAACTAAATGCTTTGATCTCCCTGATGTGATATCAACATTGCTTATTGTTTCTCTGTCTCAGTTATTTTTAAAGTGTATGACTCAGACTGTAATGGAAAGGTGTCTTTCAATGACATAATGGAAGTTCTGCGGGATTTGTCTGGTTCGTTTATGTCCAATGAGCAAAGAGAGGTATTACTGAGGATCCGCAGTCTCACCATCTTTATTTCATCCTATCATCCAAAACAAGATTTAATGTTGAATGAGACTTAAAAAAAGAAATATGTTTGTCCTTTACAGAGAATCCTTGTTATTTAGAAGTGAAGTCATGGTCCATTTTGCGAAAAATACCACATAGTTGGAGAAACTTATCAGCAAGTAATAAAGTGGTGTAGTTTTATAGACTCTTATCAAAAGCATTTAATTATGATGTTTTTCTGAACTATATCACTTGAGAAACTAATAATTCTGGAGACTGGAGAAGTATTGTACTGTTTAGTTAAATATGCTTGACTTTCAAAGAAAATTTCCTTGCTAATACAGAAAATTATCATTGGTTTTCATATGTCAGTTGATTCATGTTAGTAGTGATTGATAACTTTATAGCTCATTGATAATTTGAACTCAATAATTGTGTTCTACACTAATTTAGTGACCAATAATTTTCCTGGAAAAATTTTTGTGGTTGTGATGTCTTCCAATTTCTGATACACCCTTTGATTTTTCTTGTTGCTTATATTACATGATCAATTATGGATTCATTAAACAAGTCAGTTCTCATTTTATTTCATTTTTTCTATTGAAAATCTTGGCTCGTGATGATGTGAATAAGATAAAAAAAATTCTGCTTGTAAGGTATTTAGTTTCTAAAATTAGTGGCATGTTCAACATTTTTCCCATCTTTGCACCTTGTTTAATATGCATCAGCACAATTACTGTTTGAAGTATAGTTTGGATTAATAATTTTTTGGCTTCTTTTACTTCGAAAACAAAGAAAAGATGAGTTTCTTTTCAGGAGTGTGTCATGACAAATTCCTGCACCTTCTCTGTTTTGCAGCAAGTCTTGACTCAAGTGTTCAAGGAAGCAGGTTACACAAGGGACTCTTATTTAACGTTGGCTGACTTCATTAAGGTGCTTTATATGTTGTTACATCTCATTTACTTTATACATCCTTGCTGTTATAATGAGCTAAATGATATTTATTTCCATTGGTCTGGAAAAAACAACAGTAACGAACTTTCGTAGAGGAGTACACTTGAAATGTACAGTTTTTATTTCACTTTTCTTTTAGCCGATAGTGACACAAAGGACAAGATAATTTGGGATGATGAAGTAAACGAAACGGCTTTACCGGATATTTCTCTCTTTATCTGCCAAGGATTGCAAAGCTATGTTACAGGCGCCTTTATTCTTTTCAGAATATTCTTTGGATGAGAAATTCTACTGCTCTAGGTTGCAAAGTTTTGTAAGGTCAAGGGGATCGAATTTATTAGAAGTTTGGGTATGCTATAAGCAAACAATTTGGCTGTTTTTATTCACAAAATGAAAGCACTTATATATAACTTTTACCAGTTAGCAAGCTGGGTCATCCCTGTTTGAAGAACTACTTTTATTCGTATCATTGTGTACCTCATCTTAATTTGCTTTATTGTTAGTTCAAATTGTATAAAATATTACAATTTTCATTGCTTTCTATCTGTTTCAGGTTTTCGGAAGTTCTGGCCTTAATATGGACGTTGAAGTTCCAGTTGACTAAAGTAAATCCTGCACTCTCTTGATCTTAATTCACAATCTGTCTCTTTCCGGACTTCAGTTAGACCAACATGCAAAAGAGAAACCAAACCATACCTATGTAGAACAGTTGAAATCAAATAGAAACACACCCTCCTGTATTATCCTTTTCTGTTCCTTGACCTGGATGAATAATAATAGAAATACACTAAGCTTTCAGGTTCCCTGTATTTAAATCAACCATATTTTGCAAAGTCGCATCCAAGTCCATGGAGCTAATCAGTTTTACTCCATGCATGCATCTGTGGAAACCACTTCTGTGAGACATACATAATTATTCAATGAAGAAATGATGAATTGATGCTCCAATTTGATGGAGATAAAGTTTTTGTATGAAAGGTTTCATATCCCTTCTATTTTGTCATGATGCAGGAGCCAAGAATCTATTAGGACTCTTTAATAGAGCCAAAATTTTGCCTCCTGTATGTCATAAATCATAAAGAGCCAAATTTCTCAAAACCAACTCTAATATAACTAAAAGTTAAATTAAGCCGAAATGGTCTGCCAATAACAATGGAGACTGAATTTAGAGTGAAGACATTCTCTTTGCAAGTGCTTAGTAATTTCTCATGACAATAAAAACAAGCCAAAAAATTGAGAGAAAGAAAATCTGAAGGAAAATTTATCTTCCTCTTAACACTACAAAATTTCTTCTCCATCTCTTAGAAGATTAGCAAAGAAGAGGAAATCTCTTGAATAATGTCCTCTATGGAGACTGCAACTCTGTCTGGTAAGCAATCATCATTCCCTATCACCATCATCTTCACCAACCAACTTTTTCATGTCATTTTTTCTTTTGTTTTGCAAGCATGTCTTGTTCGAAGTTTGAACGTCCTTTAATACCATTGATTTCTTGGAGCAGAATATGCTTGTGATTCATCAAATTATCAGAACAGAGTTCCAATAACCTGTATTTTCATATTCCTATTATTAATTGTACCAGTCTTTTGGTATTCTTGGTTGCTTCCCAATATCGATTCGGAATAATATGTTTGCCTATTTATACAACTGATAGATCAAATGGGAGATCTATCATTCAAAAGACTTTGGCACTGAACATTCTTATTATCTTTCAGATTCCTGAAAAGATTTGCTTTAGGAAGGAAATGGAAAGCACTTCACAAGAACTAGAAGTTAATTCCTCAAGGAATAAGCAATCGAGATTCAGTAAATGTACACCTTATGATGGTTCTAGATTAGTGAGTAAACAGAACAAACAGTTATCTAATAAATTTATGCAAGATTCAAGAGCTTCAAGATCAAATGAGGCCAGGGAGAAATTTGTGTTGAAATGCTCCAGAGGTAAAGTTTCCAATATTTCTCTCAAGGGCAAAGGATATTCACAAGCAAGTGATGTTGAACAACTGATGGAGCGTTTGAAGATTCTTGAAGAAGAAACTGAAGCTATGAAGCAAACATTCATTGACACCATGGAAGAGAGGACAAGGTTGGTGAGTGAAATACATCAGGAGTTTCTGACAATACACTGTTGCCGGTGCCTTGGAAACCAAGTGACAGGATTGAAATCTTGGGATGGATCTTTGATTGTCAATCCTTTTGACAAGGTAATGAATTTTGCCTCCAATATATTATGGTTCTATTTGTTCGTATGGTAAATTCTAGTTCTCATAGTCTAGATTAAGATTTCATCTTTAGTCGATTTTGTCTTGCAAAAATCATGAAATCTAATTCTCATTATGGCCTTCAGCAAGGAGATAATTTTAGTTTAATTCGTTTCTTTTTCATTTCTTTTTCCTGGGTATTGTAGCAAATATTGCAATTACTGTTTTCATATAAATGAAATCTAAGACTACTTTGTTTAATGTTTATACAGAAGGCTATAATGGGGATTGGTCTGTCACAAATTCTACAAGAAGACTCAAATCCATGTATTGTCACCAGAGACTACAAAACAAATATGCATTTCAGCTAGCAGCAGCAGCATCCATTCCCAGACGGGACTTTTGTTTTTCTTGTGAGATTACTAGGACTGTAACCAACTAGCATTGATATTTTACTGAAAATCAATACCTTTTCCTCTACAACTCAATATTTTGGCAAAGTACACTGAAAATATTTCTAATTAATTAATTTGGTATGATAACACATTACACTGTCCTATATTTGACAAAATGGATGATGAACCAAACATTTCACAATCCATGAACAAACATGAAAATGAAAAAAAACTTCCTTCTTTATCAACTACTTAAACCAGAACGTACAAGAAGACTCAAATAACAGATTTGCTACAAAGTAGAAAGACATGGATAAAAGGGAAAGTGTATATCAGATTTCTCCTCGATAACCTCCAGAACCAAAATAATCTCTTCGAGAGCTGGCAATTGCCATGCTTTTCTGATGCTCTAACTTGGGGCAATCGCGGATACGATGACCAAGCCCACCGCAATATGCACAGCCCTTAACGCCACTTGCATTTGTAATTGCTTCTACATCCTCCATCGGATCATTTAGCTCAGCTAATACAGGAGGAATCCTCTGTTTTGCTTCTTGCAATAGGTGCTTAAGATCAAGAAGTGTTGTCTCACTTTGATTCTTGTTTATAAATGTTGTTGCAATTCCGGTCTTACCACATCTACCAGTTCGCCCAATTCTGTGAACGTAGTTCTCTATTTCTCCAGGCATGTCATAATTAATGACATGTTGAATATCAGGAAAATCTAACCCTTTTGAGGCAACATCAGTTGCAACCAAGACATCTTTCTTGCCTGATTTAAAAGCTGTAATTGCATACTCTCTGTCTTCCTGATCTTTCCCTCCATGAACGGCCACTGCCTCAACTCCCTTCACCAGGAGATATTCATGAATGTCGTCCACATCAGCCTTGTTCTCACAAAATATTAAAACAGGAGGTGGAGTTTTCTGTAGGCATTCAAGTAGGTATACAATCTTTGCCTCTTGTTTCACATACTCAACTTCCTGAATCACATCAAGATTTGCTGCTCCAGCTCTTCCCACATTGACAGTAACCGGCTTCACCAGAGCACTTTTGGCAAAGTTCTGAATTTTTGTAGGCATAGTGGCGGAGAATAAAAGGGTTTGCCTTTGAGCTTTAAAGTGGTCAAACACTTCCCTTATATCATCTTCAAACCCCAGATCCACCAGCCTATCTGCCTCGTCCAATGTTAAATATCTGCATAATAAAGGCAGCAGTGTAAATATCATAACATATTATCAAAACAAACCAAATATATCCTAGGAACAAAAACACATAAGTAATCAGATAACAAGGCAGATGCAAAATGGAAACATCTGAAAATGAATACTAATAGAAGTAAATAGTTATGTCTCAACATGTCTAACAGCTGACCAGCCAATTCCAAACTTACAGTTCAAAGGATGACGAAGATGGAATTGAGAAAGGACATGAATTTTTCTTACAATCTTTTAAGTAGATAACATAGGATAATATATAAAACATTCTGCCGGACAACAAAGACTGTCTACACAAGTTCCATTATGAAAGAGGAAATAGGTTTTGTGCATGAGGGTGCAAAAGTGAAACTGCCCACTCAAGACTTCATAAATTAGCAGCTTATTCTAATGTTTGATGCAATTAGAACTGCGGAATTAAGTGTGCTCACCTACAGTTATCCAGATTCATTTTCTTCTTTGCCAACATGTCCTTCAACCTCCCAGGAGTTGCAACAACGATGTGTACACCCCTCTTAACAATCTCCAGCTGTGACCGCATATCCACTCCTCCAATACAAAGCAATGCCCTCAACTCTGGATAGCCGGCCTCCTGCATTGGCATCAAAAACTGTTCTACCACCTCATATGTCTGCCTTGCGAGCTCTCTGGATGGGCATACAATTAGACAAAACGGCCCTTCTCCTGGAACAATTGGCATCATCATCTCCTCCTGCAGTGCTACCATGATCATTGGCAATACAAATACCAATGTCTTGCCTGAACCTGTAAAAGCAATCCCAATCATGTCCCTACCAGACAAGACAACTGGAAGACCCTGCACCTGAATTGGAGTCGGTTGCACAATCCCCTTTGCTTTCAACTTCTTCAAAATTGGCTCAGGAAACCTCATGTCCTTGAAATTCTTTATCGGTGGAGGAATATGTTCGCCATCAACAATAATATGCCACTGTTTTCGAATTAAATCACATGCCTTCTTTGACATTCTTCGAATAAACAAAGGCGGCTTCCATCCTGTCAATAAAGGGTCTGTGTATGTTATTCCCTTGGCCAATTCCCGAACTGACATCAGCGTTTTCCTATCAGACAAGTGCTCAATCATCTCCTTCTCTTGTTGCACAGCCTGCTCCGTGGGACTGATTTCGGGTTGATCACGCTTAAGCTGGGATGCTTTAACAAGCAGGCTAGGCTTGACTTCAGCAAGTTTAGATTTCTCAAGCTCTTCCTCCAATTCCGAGGATTTCCCCTTACGCTGAAGTATTTTTTGAGCTTCCATCGCTCTACGCTTCGCCACTGGGACATATTCAACATAATCATCCTCTTCCTCCATTTTATTTCCTGCCACAACCATAAAAATTTGTCAGCAATCACTGACGCCAAACTCACAAAACAATTAAGTAACCAAGCTTAATCAAAAGAATTAAGTACCCAGAACAAGAATACAATTGCAAGTATGAATAACCAGCAAATAGATGAAACTGCGGAAGAAGTTAGGGTTTATAAAACTCAAATTAAATTGAACTACTTGATTCTTAGTTGATATTGAAAGATATGTGAATAAAATTACCCACAGTTGACGAGTCAGCCGGAAAAATCAGAAGAAACGCTAAATGGGCGGAAACCTAGGCCTCAAATGTGCGGGCGACGGTGTTATTTCATTCTTGTCCAGAGTCGGTTTATGAACTTTATAGCTTTTTAACTCCGGAGGTTTGATTTTCAATATATTTAAATTTAATTTTTAATTTTTATGTAAATTAATTTCTAATATTCAGTTTAATTTATTGTAATTTGGTTAATAACAATTTAATATTAAAATAAATAATAAAAAAATAATTAGATGAATATTTATTTTGATTTATAGATATTGCAAATATTAATTTGGCAAATAAAAGAGAATATTTTTGACAACCAGATTTTATTTATTTATAGATATTGCAAATATTAATTTAGAACATAAATAACCACCTTTAATAGTGTAACAATTGACTAAAACTTTTAGATTTATTATTAAAAAAATTTGAGATCGATTCACTTGAATTATTAATAGAGGAGCAGCCATTGTCTGGATTTAACTGGCTATCAACTTTCGAGTCTTAGAGATTAGTTGAAGGATACGTAAACTATCCGAACACTCTTTATTAAAAAAAAAAAAAATCCCTAAAAGAAAATACTAACAAAATCTATTTAGAATTAAAGGAAAATAATTTTCCTTATCCAATCTATTGATATTATGAGGCTTTTTTCCCATATTCCTTTTCTTGATAAACTCAAAAATTTTGTAGCCATGGAAGTGGAAGTAAAGCTCCGATTGAAGAACTCCACAGCCCACCAACAGGTCTCAAACCTTCTCTCACCTTTTCACAAGAAAACCCTTTTCCAGGAAAACATTTTCTTTGATGACAAACACTCAAAACTCTCTTCAAACTTAGCCGTTCTTCGTCTCCGTTTCTACAACTTAAATTCCCACTGTGTACTCTCCCTCAAAGCCAAACCCAGCATTTCAAATGGCATCAGCCGCATCCAGGAGCTTGAAGAGCCCCTGCCTGTGGCCACAGCCACTGAATGTGTATCAAAACCAAGTCTTTTATCCAAAATTGATTCAAAGATCATGGCTTTGGTTAAAAATGAATATGGGGTTGGTGAAAATAGTGAGTTTGTTTGTTTAGGTAGGTTTAAAAATGTGAGGGGTGTGTATGAATGGAAAGGGTTGAAGTTGGAACTGGATGAAACTATTTATGGGTTTGGAACATGTTATGAGATCGAGTGTGAGAGTTTGGATCCTGAGAGAGATAAGAAATTGATTGAGGGGTTTTTGGAGGAGAATGGGATTGAGTATGAGTACTCTCAGGTGTCAAAGTTCGCGGTTTTCCGATCTGGGAAGTTGCCTGATTGAGTTGAGAATTGTAAGTTGTTTATGTTTTTATTGTTGAATTCTTGTATTGACTGTAATGTTAATTACTTTAAGTTATGACATATAATGAGAACCTTGGTTGTTTGTGTTAATGTTAGTGAATTTTGATTGCAAATTATGTGCACTTTGGTCACCTCTTAACGATTGTGTGTCAGAATAATTGTTAGGAGTTGTTTCAAAATTGAGAAGTGAAATTTTCAAAGAAAATTAAGGCTTTTTGTTAAAGTGTGCATTGTTATCTAGTTGTGGAGAAATTATTCATAATCTGGAGTTTGAAGGCTCATAATCTCTGGCCAAAAGGTGCCCAAGCGAGTGAATAACAGTAGTAACTCTGTGGTTTTGTTTAAAGGGGTGGAATAATGTTTTATTGTTTTGTTAAAGTGAGCACTGTTATCTAGAATTATGTTTTGAGCACTGGTAGTGAATGTTGAATAACTGCGTGGTGACTCTACAGCTGATAATTATGGTAATAGCACTGCATAATATGCGCCTTTTGTAGACAGCTGAGCATAGTAGCCTCATTGTGATTTTTTTTCTTTAAAAGAAAATGATTGTTTCCATTAACTAGACTAGACTTTGCACCAGAAAATGTTAATTCAGTTATTTTAGAGAAAAATCCAGAATATTGAGCTGACAATTGTGATTCAATTTCTATTTTTTCATCCAGTTTTTGCAGGATCATTTTGTTACTTTTTTTACCATTGTACTGATGTCTAAGTAAGTTCAAAATGTCTAATTAAGCTGTGCTTTTGTGTGTAATATCTAAGTTGTTAAGATTTTCTGCTCCTTTTTATCTTAAATTGACATTTTGCTATTTTGTTATGTGGCTGAAGATTAGTTTCTATAACCTTGAGGACAAACTAACAACCGTTTACTGCTTTACTTATTTGACCAAAAGACAGAAGGACCTGAGCCATCTAGATCCTGGTTAGGCCCTACAAAAACATCTTAGTTAGGTTGAAAGCACGGCCTTAGGAAGTGATGCATAAAATACTGTAAACTCAGAAACTTCCTCTGTTTGTGGTATAAGAATTTCTCATATGCTAGCATGATATAAGATGCAATTATGAAGAAGCTTAGTTTTTTCTTTCTTCTTCTGCAGTTGCCGGAAACGAATTCTAATCTTGAGTGGTTAAGAACACTAGCACTACTCAAAGATATTGTATGCTCTTGTTTGTTAAATATACATACATTGGAATTCTCATTGTAAATGCTTGTTTTTCTCAATACTGTTGCAGATTATTTAGGGGTCCTAATCTTTTTGGTACATTGTGTTGTATTTTCTAATGCAGAGGCTTTTATTAGAGTAAAATCGGCGGTCAAGAATATTTGCATTTTAAAATTGGAATCAATGACGTGTTGACCTGTGGAAACTTCGTATCATTGTGCTCGCAAAATTGTCAGGGGAAGATTTTTCTAGGTGAGATGCTGACAGTGGTTTAAGTTTGAGCCAGATTTTCGAGATGAACTTCATTCTTTCTTTGACTTGGGCATTAACAATGTTCGACCATGTTGTCTAGGATTGTAGACAAAGTATACGGATATATTTACGACCCTGGTCAAAATTTATGGAAGATGTTTGAAACCTTTGTTTGTAGCGAGAAAACATTGAAGATCAAAACATGCTATTGCATTGTCAACTGTTATTATTGTGGATTTACTCAGTTTGATCGAAATTGCGATGCGTAGAGGTATCAAAGGATAAGTTTCTCCATCAGAAGTATACAGAAGAAAGTACGTTTTAGAGACTGAAAAAAAGAAGTGAGAAAGGGTTTATGGATTTTTTCTGAACATTCATAGATTTCCATATATAAGAAAAATCATAAATCATTGCATCAATAAATGAATAAAATAAAAAAATTTGAGCTTTCTCCGAAAAATACCAGTCAAGATGAAGCTCCAGTCTTCCAAATGGAAGAATAGGCCAGCCATTCATCAAATCATCTATATTAAGATATCTCTAGGTCCAAAGCTGAAGAAAGTTTTATTAAATACAAATTTAAAAGTCTAATTTACGATACATACAATTATAGATACTAGAAATCACAACTGTTTTAAAAGCATTAGTTATCAAACACACTCCAACTGAAGTTCAAAGCTATAGTCTACAACAATTCCAAAGCAGCCTTGGGGATGTGGGATTCTAATTAAGGTCAGTAACAGTGTTTTAAAACCCGGCCTGCCCGGCCAGTTGAATTGGGACCTGGAGCCTTCACTATTGGGTTACAAGTTTTCCTATTCATTGAAAACCCTAAAAATTAGGATATCAATCCATGAACAATTGAAGGTTGGAATGTTAAGATTTTCGAAGAGGAATGGCCGGTGAGTGTAATGGTGACAACGGTGTCGATTTCCGTGGGTGAATCGATCGAAAATTGCAAAAAAATATCGCTAAAAAAAGCCTGTTGTCGCTAGTGATTAGGGAGGCGAACGAGAGAGGGGTGAGATGGGTTTTAGTCAATAGGCCGAGGGAGTGTTTTTGTGGTGATGGGGAATGTTGTCGTTGCCAGAAACATGTCCTATTTGCCGACTTTTGCAAGATTTCAAACCTATAAGGACTTATAGAATTTTCGGAGGTATTTTTGTTAGATTTCAAACCTTTGGACACTGGTTTGACCCGTCGGTCAAACCGATTAAACCAGTCAACCCGAGACCCAACCATTTTGTTCATTAATGCAACTTGTGATTTGCTTATCATTAGTACTGTAATTCACTCTATTCAAGCACACATTCCAAAGAATCAACATTCTACAATAACACCACGTTGAAACTCATACTGTGAGACCTGGCAAAACAAAATCCTCATTATAAATTTGTAACCAAAAGGATGGTCCATTCATATACGGACATAAGAGCCAATGTTATCAGATTTTAATCTACCTAGTTATACATGAAGATGGTTCAACAATAAATAAAAGAAATTAAACTTTTCCTAGCTCTATAGAATAAACCAGCTCAAATAATTGCACCGCATGACAATATTCAAAAATGAATAAAATGCCACCTGACTGCAGGCTTCAGAAGACTAGGCTTCAAAGAAATTAACATAAATTTTTTTTCTCATTTCTTCTTTTTAGATGGTGGCTCCTTTTGCTCTTCATCCTCCTCTTCATCGTTGTCATCCTCTTCATTGTTTTTGTCATCATCTTCTTCGTCGTCGTTGTCGTCATCATCATCGTCTTCATCACTTTCACTATCATCATTTGCCTCAGCATCATCATCTGAATCCTCCTCCTCATCACTTTCTTCTTCTCCAGAGTCATCTTCCTCCTCCTCACCATCATCATTGTCATCACTTTCAGTTTCATCAGCTTCACCGGCATCTTCAGCTTCTGACTCAGGCTTTTGCACTTTAGTCAGTTCGGCAAATGGAAATCTGCAATGCAATCACACACCCGTTAGACAATTACTTTATCACCTCAGATTATCATTACAAAAGGAAGATTTCAAGTAAAAGAAATAAAAAATATTCTTTTGTACCTATGATCAACTCCTGGGAAGCTTGAAAACTCATTTGTACCATCACACTGAGATCCAATCTGTTAATTGCAGAACATGTTAAAATAAGCATATTATCAGGCGACAAATACCAATTCCTAAATTTTCCGAAGACAAATTTTGCCAATTTATAGCAGTCGAAAAACAAAGAAGCTTCTAGGATATTGCAATATAATAAAACTATCATAACAAGTAGATGATCTGAAAATGAGATATACAAAATTTGGGTCAGGAATCTGGATTAAGAATACAGGGGGAACCTGAGGAAACAGTGGATGTGTCTCTAAAGCAGCAGATTTTATAATCATTCTGGAACTGAAATCTATAGAGTACTGTTCTTGTCGCCGCAATCTTATTATCAAAATAAAATCAAACTTTTAGCACTCAAAATCTTGAGTATAGATCGAACCCTGTGTATGTCCAAAGTAAAAATCCATGAATTGTACATGAAACTCACTAATTACTTGGCGGTCAAGAATATTTGCATTTTAAAATTGGAATCAATGACGTGTTGACCTGTGGAAACTTCGTATCATTGTGCTCGCAAAATTGTCAGGGGAAGATTTTTCTAGGTGAGATGCTGACAGTGGTTTAAGTTTGAGCCAGATTTTCGAGATGAACTTCATTCTTTCTTTGACTTGGGCATTAACAATGTTCGACCATGTTGTCTAGGATTGTAGACAAAGTATACGGATATATTTACGACCCTGGTCAAAATTTATGGAAGATGTTTGAAACCTTTGTTTGTAGCGAGAAAACATTGAAGATCAAAACATGCTATTGCATTGTCAACTGTTATTATTGTGGATTTACTCAGTTTGATCGAAATTGCGATGCGTAGAGGTATCAAAGGATAAGTTTCTCCATCAGAAGTATACAGAAGAAAGTACGTTTTAGAGACTGAAAAAAAGAAGTGAGAAAGGGTTTATGGATTTTTTCTGAACATTCATAGATTTCCATATATAAGAAAAATCATAAATCATTGCATCAATAAATGAATAAAATAAAAAAATTTGAGCTTTCTCCGAAAAATACCAGTCAAGATGAAGCTCCAGTCTTCCAAATGGAAGAATAGGCCAGCCATTCATCAAATCATCTATATTAAGATATCTCTAGGTCCAAAGCTGAAGAAAGTTTTATTAAATACAAATTTAAAAGTCTAATTTACGATACATACAATTATAGATACTAGAAATCACAACTGTTTTAAAAGCATTAGTTATCAAACACACTCCAACTGAAGTTCAAAGCTATAGTCTACAACAATTCCAAAGCAGCCTTGGGGATGTGGGATTCTAATTAAGGTCAGTAACAGTGTTTTAAAACCCGGCCTGCCCGGCCAGTTGAATTGGGACCTGGAGCCTTCACTATTGGGTTACAAGTTTTCCTATTCATTGAAAACCCTAAAAATTAGGATATCAATCCATGAACAATTGAAGGTTGGAATGTTAAGATTTTCGAAGAGGAATGGCCGGTGAGTGTAATGGTGACAACGGTGTCGATTTCCGTGGGTGAATCGATCGAAAATTGCAAAAAAATATCGCTAAAAAAAGCCTGTTGTCGCTAGTGATTAGGGAGGCGAACGAGAGAGGGGTGAGATGGGTTTTAGTCAATAGGCCGAGGGAGTGTTTTTGTGGTGATGGGGAATGTTGTCGTTGCCAGAAACATGTCCTATTTGCCGACTTTTGCAAGATTTCAAACCTATAAGGACTTATAGAATTTTCGGAGGTATTTTTGTTAGATTTCAAACCTTTGGACACTGGTTTGACCCGTCGGTCAAACCGATTAAACCAGTCAACCCGAGACCCAACCATTTTGTTCATTAATGCAACTTGTGATTTGCTTATCATTAGTACTGTAATTCACTCTATTCAAGCACACATTCCAAAGAATCAACATTCTACAATAACACCATGTTGAAACTCATACTGTGAGACCTGGCAAAACAAAATCCTCATTATAAATTTGTAACCAAAAGGATGGTCCATTCATATACGGACATAAGAGCCAATGTTATCAGATTTTAATCTACCTAGTTATACATGAAGATGGTTCAACAATAAATAAAAGAAATTAAACTTTTCCTAGCTCTATAGAATAAACCAGCTTAAATAATTGCACCGCATGACAATATTCAAAAATAAATAAAATGCCACCTGACTGCAAGCTTCAGAAGACTAGGCTTCAAAGAAATTAACATAAATTTTTTTTCTCATTTCTTCTTTTTAGATGGTGGCTCCTTTTGCTCTTCATCCTCCTCTTCATCGTCGTCATCCTCTTCATTGTTCTTGTCATCATCTTCTTCGTCATCGTCGTCGTCATCATCGTCGTCGTCATCACTTTCACTATCATCATTTGCCTCAGCATCATCATCTGAATCCTCGTCATCATCACTTTCTTCTTCTCCAGAGTCATCTTCCTCCTCCTCACCATCGTCATTGTCATCACTTTCAGTTTCATCAGCTTCACCGGCATCTTCGGCTTCTGACTCAGGCTTTTGCACTTTAGTCAGTTTGGCAAATGGAAATCTGCAATGCAATTTATCACCTCAGATTATCATTACATAAGGAAGATTTCAAGTAAAAGAAATAAAAAATATTCTTTTGTACCTATGATCAATTCCTGGGAAGCTTGAAAACTCATTTGTACCGTCACACTGAGATCCAATCTGTTAATTGCACAACATGTTAAAATAAGCATATTATCAGGCGACAAATAACAATTCCTAAATTTTCCGAAGACAAATTTTGCCAATTTATAACAGTCGAAAAACAAAGAAGCTTCTTGGATATTGCAATATAACAAAACTATCATAACAAGTAGATGATCTGAAAATGAGATATACAAAATTCGGGTCAGGAATCTGGATTAAGAATACAGGGGGAACCTGGGGAAACAGTGGATGTGTCTCTAAAGCAGCAGATTTTATAATCATTATGGAACTGAAATCTATAGAGTACTGTTCTTGTCGCCGCAATCTTATTATCAAAATAAAATCAAACTTTTAGCACTCAAAATCTTGAGTATAGATTGAACCCTGTGTATGTCCAAAGTAAAAATCCATGAATTGTACATGAAACTCACTAATTACTTCAATATGAGAACCCTGTAAATTGTATCTCGGTTAGCAAGAAAATTAAGAAAAATTCAAACATCATAGAAATCTAAAAGTCGGGTTTTATACAGATTTGATTTGAGAAAATAAAAACTTGGCAGTCACTCTCTGCTAAACTGAAAACTCTTAAAAGTAAACAGCCTAACAATCACCATAAGTATTCTTCACCGAGCAGCATTGCTAATTTTCTCTGTGCTCTGTCAAGCATACCAAGCTTGATTACAAATAACTAACCTTCAATGCAACAATCTCAACTCACAAAAGCTCGTGTCTTTTAAGAGTCCCCACTTGGAAAACCACCCCCCATAATCAAGAACCCAAGTCATCTCTTTTCGCGCAGCCAGGTCACAAAGGCAATCTACTGGTATATTTGGTCAAAGAGAATCACGCCCTCAACAAAACCATCCATAAAACACAAAACCTTGTCTACAAGAACCTACCCGTCGACATATACATATTCAAAATCCAATCTAAGCACCAAACATAAGTCAAATTTGCAACATAGGAAATAAACAGAAAAAAAAAGAGAAAAAAAAAAATTGAATGACGCAAATTTAAGATACTACATTTATGGAAACGACAATGTACCAGCAAGAGAAGGCAAAGAAGAAACTTTTGAGCCTGCAGATTGGTCTCCACCACCAGAGAATACAAAATCTTCTCCAGATCAACACTATTACTAATACTATGCAGCAGAAAAGTCTCCATCTCCATAAGTGGGTGCAGAAGATTGAAGAAGACAAGTGAAAGAAACAAAGAGAGAAAGAGTTGTGCTGGGGTAATAACTGGAGGGTTTAGTGAGTGAGTAATAAGAGGGAGATTGAAGAGGAAGTTTACTTAGGGCTTTGACTTCTTTGTCTGCATTGGCCTTGTACTTTACCCTATGCATTGGCTTCAATGCTCAGTGCTAAACCACTGTTGGAAAAAGAAGATTTAACACGGTTTCGTAAATTGGAGTTAAAAGAACAAGATGTAACATGAACTTTTAAGAATCTAATATGGTGTTTCAAGTTCGAGTTTTTTTAAAGATTAAGAATATAAGAAAGATTTAATATAATTTTTCAAGTTTAAATCCTTACTGTTGCTAATAAGAGTCGCCATTAACATTAGAGTTTGTATCCGATTGATAAGTTTAAGGTTTCAGAGAATTGGTTGAGGTACGTGTAAATTGATCGGATACTTTCAATCATTAATTAAAAAAAAAAAACTCAATGCTCACCTGAAAATAATTAATTAATTAAAATTTTTAAATAATTAATATTATTTTTCATTTAAATGGTACATGGAATTTATGAGATGAATATGTGTTTAGTAAGTAATAATATAATTGTGAAAAAGGGAAATACTAAAATAAGTGCAATATTTAGATATTTAGATTACAGTTCAATTATCTTCAGCCTATGTACATGTTAAACGTAACTGAAAACAGTTTATAAGGTTGAAAAAGAAATTGTAATAAGATTAACAAAGTAACAGACTTTAACTACCAGGTGAGGTGTCATCCGAGTCAGCTTCACTCAACTCACACGTGGCATCCAGCTCAAGAGTACACTTGATGGAATGAAGAGTTACACAAACCCTGATGAAATACACAAACAGAAAAAGTAATGTTATAGACACCGAAATTTTGTATCAAAGGACATGATAATCAGTTAGACGCGACCACATTATAGTCTTTTGTGAATAAACGACTGTGTCAACATTTATGGACGTCCACATATATTTAATGGGCTCCCGTTCATATTATATGGATGGATGTCTATTTACTATGGACGAGTGTCCATATAAAATAGATGCCTGTCCAAAAAATTTTAAAAGAAAAATAATGGACGTCCGTCTATCTTATATTGTCGGGTGTCTATTTACTATGAACAGGCCAAAAAATTTTAAAACCAAAATAATTGGCGTCTTTGATTATTGGACAACCGTTCACTTATAATGGACGTCCGTCCATGAGAAAAAAACAATAAACTTTTGTTCATATAATATGGACGAGAGTCCATTTACTATGGATAAGTATTCACCTAAAATAGACACCCGTCTATTATTTAAAATAAAAAAATTCTAATTCAATAGACAGACGTCCATTTTGATTTAAAAAAATTTAATTCAATGGCTAGACGCCTGTCCATTATTTGATTTAAAAAAATTTTACAAAATTTGAGTCTCAATCTAAGAAGTAAAGGTCGCTATCTTCATTAATTTTTATCCATATTCAAAGCAATTGTACAGGTGTCATGAGAATAAGATATTAAATTTTTGTCTAGATTCAAAGTAATTGAACAAGTGTCATAAGAATAATGCACTAACTCAATTAGGATTCATTAAATAAATTAATGCATTAAATAAATTTAAAATTTAAAATTTTTCAATATTAAAAGATGGACGCCCATCCTCATATAAGAGGACGAGCGTCCATAAATAATTTAGGCCAATTTTTTTTAGTTTAAACTATGAACGGACATCCATTCTAGATGGATGACCATCTATATAATATGGACGGGAGTTCATTTTAAATGAACGGTCGTCCAATAACAATGGACGGTCGTCTATATTTGATAGATAGTCGTTCATTCGCAGAATATTTATTAATATGATACGTGACTCGTCTGATTCAGTAAACACGTCGTTCGGTGTAAAAATTCAGTGCAAAGCATCTGTGTCCGTAATATTTTTCCAAACAGAAATACTAGCTTTCTGACTTGTCTATATTTTCATGATTTCATCCAAACCTTAGAAGTAAAATTAAACAAAATAATCAAAGAAAAAAATATATTGGAGCACGCTGTAGCGCTATAAATCTAAAATAATAATAATAACTATTGCAAGAGGTTGCTTGAAAGAGACATCAATAATAATAATAATAATAATAAAATCGTTATTATTTTTTAGGTTTATATATTACTTTTTTTTTCTTTATGATTGGAGGTATCCGAGCCAGCCCAGGACCCTAAAATTATCAGCTGAGTAAGAGTTCTAATAGCATTATTATTTTTTAGGTTTATATAGTACTTTTTTTTTTAATGATTGGAGGTGTCCGAGCTAGCCTAGGACCCTAAAATTACTCGCTGAGTAAGAGTTTCAATAGCTACTCCTATTAATAACCAAGGAGAGACTTGTACTCAAAACCTCTTAAGTAATACTATCAAGAATCTTGATCAAACCACTCGGCCACATAGAATTAGTTGTTTATATTAGTGTTTTAAAACTTGGCTTGGTCTGACTGGTTGAACTGGTTGTTCAACTGGGACCTAGGGCTTTCACCAGGCTGGGTTAGTCATTTCCCTATTCATCGAAAAACCTAGAAATTGAGATGATGATCAGCGAACAATTGAAGATCATGGTATTGGGGCTATTGAAGAGAAAGCGTCAGTGAGTGCAATGGTAGTGATGAAGGTGATATCTGGTGAGTGAATCAACAGAAAATCGAAAAAATCTGACTGTGACAACAGGCGGCTTTTGCTGGTGATTGGCGAGGCAAACGAGGGTGGGGTGAGATGAGTGTTGGTCAGGAGGCTAAGAAGAGTATTTTCGTGGTAAATGGGAGATTGTCGACACCGACGATGGTGAGATCTAGCCTGACATATTGATGTCGACGTCGGTAAGATTTGGCCCAGATCTTGGATAGATTTTTTGGGGAATGGGCTCAAGGGATGATTGATATTACATTTGGTGTGTCATCGCCGCCAACCAGTCGATCGCTGATTTATATTTGAGGTGTGTTTGCTAAATTTCAAACTTATATGGACTTAACGTGAATATTAAGAGAGTATTTGCTAAATTTAAAATTTTTGACACCCAGTTGTTTGACCGGCTTCAAACCGGTTTTTGCTGGGCTTAACCCCAGGTGGTTTATTAAAAGACCGGTTTATATGGTACTTGATATAGCTTTGTGCTTCAACCTTGACAGCAGTAAAATCTAATATCTACGCACTTGTTAGCTGTTTTCTCTCTCTATTTTTGATTTTTTAAACCTGGATCCTTATTCAGCTTTCAATGGATAATTGGATATTTCAAGTTTGAGAAGAAGTTTGAAATTCTTTCGTTCATAATAATAATAATTTATTAATATTTTTCTCAAAGAAATCTTTTACAGAAAGGAACCCAGTTATCTCAACAATAATAATCCAGGCCTAAATTGCCATAGCGTCAGATTATTTGTCTAACTGGTACATAAATGAGTTTAAGCTTTCCCCAAAAGAAAAATGTTTTGAGTAATGACATGAATTTCTTCCATACTATTTGGAGAAAAGTTTATTGTAATCCAATTCCTAATTGTTGAATATTAATTTTCATGTATTTTCTTTATATTTTAAGATATTGACAACAATTAAAGGTTCCTGAAAAATCCACTTTCACAGTCAAAGAGTCAGAACAATGTAAGTTTTAGTTTCAAAGATCATAGTAAACAGGCTTTAAACCCCTTTTCAATTTCCTGTGCATCCAAATTCTTCCCAATGAACACAATCTTATTTATTCTTGGTTCATCTGGACCCCAAGGCCGATCCGGTGAACCTTGGAATATGTCATGAACACCCTGTTACAATATATACCAAAGTTAATTTTCATCACCAAATAAAAAGGCTCATGACAAAAACTCAACGTACTAACTACAAGGAATATGTAACTAAGTGGAGGAAATATGATTTGTAAAATGCGTAGTTTACCTGAAAAACAAATCTTTCATCCATTCCTTGGACGGATAGGAGACCTTTCATTCGATATATGTCATCACTACGTTCTAACAACAATGTACCCAGCCACGTGTTCGCCTGAAAAAATAAATGATTAGATGGCATCATGGTACTGTCAGTTTATGATATTATCAAAGCAACCAACTACTCAAAGCTATATGCTAAATACTAATGTATTCGCCATAGTTGTAACCAACCTTCTCAAGATCTAGGATCCCTTCACAAACTATGCTGACAGAAGAGACGCCGGGATCGTGAGTGTGATCATGTGAATGGTGACCATCATGATGTTCTGCATATGAGGCCTCAACAAAATCAATTAAGTTCATAATATTAAATATTAATTTTACTACAGGCACAAGAGTCTATTATGATTCCAGCCAAAGACCAAGATGCCAAACAAAACAGGCAAAGACATCTCAAAATTGAGATATAAAACACTTTCTCCACCTACATCCTCTATAAAGTCTAAGGCAGTGAAACTATTGAAAAAAAAAAGAGGGAAGCCATGAAAGGCAGTAGGGTTAGCTATCAGGAAATGAAAGGACCCAACAATATAAAGTGCAGCTGAGAGGGAGAAGAAGTGGTTGTTTCAGTATGGCAGTGCGATAAACTGAACGCTGAGAATATCTTTACTAGGACAGGCACTATGTTCTTGTATGTGTACACAAATATTTTGCAGAATGGCAATCTATCACTTATCTGAGAAGGAGATAACTCACGCAGCAAAGAACAATATTACATCCCAAGAGATGGGCAATTGAAAAATTGGAAAAACTAGTTTAGGACTATAAAGATTAAATCTTCCAAATGATGAGAAATCACTAAGACACCTTGCACATACCACTGGAGGGAAAAAAAAACAAGAAATCTACTGTCGCTGAAACACATTGCATATATATAGAAAACAGCTTTAAAATGCTAGATTGTCTTCTGTAATTGAGATTGAAAGAAGTTACCATGCTCGTGATGATGATGATCATCATCATGGTCATGATGGTCATGGTCATGTTCATGATGATCATGGTCATGGTGGTCATGACCAGCATGATCTTCCTTTGCATCTACAGCACTATCAATTCTGCAAGGATTAGCAAGTGTCAGTCCACAACCTCAGATAACTAAATATTTAGCAGAAGGTAGACTGCAGGAAAAAGGTTGCAATAGGGAAGCATCCACTTCACAAAAAAATAAATAATAATCCTTTAAAAAAAATCCATTTCAGGCGAAACAAAATAGTGGAGAGCATCAGGTTAAGAATAAGTCTATTTAATGACTGCCACATTGCCTAGATTAACAAGCATAAATATATAAAGAAGTAAGCTTAAGTTCAGCAGGTTGCATTATGCATCGTGCTTTCCACTTTTATTCAATACTTTACCATTTTTATTGTTGTCTTATTTCTATCACTTCCTCCTCCTTGTATGTTGCCTAAATATAATTACACTTCATATAAAAACGAAAAGAAGCACGGAATCTTTAAGAGAAAGGTAGAAACCTTGACCATCCAATTAAAGACAGTTTGAAAGTGGCATGCTTCTACAAGAATTTAATTGGTAAATGCCACTCACATATTAAACACAAAAATGCACTCATCCATTTTGACTGGCAATAACTATTCCAAACCAGTCTAGCAAGTCCTACTACACATGAAAAATCAGTAAACGCATAAAAGGATTCATCCAAAAATCCATATATGTTGGCAGATCAGAATTTTCTTCTAGAAGTGAAGACTGTAGTTAGTATCTATACAGAAGGCTCCCTATGAGAATGACTGATTTTCTATTTATACAAAGGAAGACAAGCCTTGCAGTGAATACAGCCCTCGAAATAACTACCGACATGCATGGTCTTGCAAGTGATATAACAGATAAAAATCTTTGTCAAATATCTTTTCTGAATTACTTAAATGTATGTTGCAAAAGTTTCTAACTAAACAAAAATAATTTTCTTTGCAACCATCTGTGGTAACAGCATTTATAACACAGACAAAATTAAAGCATAATAACATAAAAGTTTAGCTTACAAAGGATAAGAAAATGGAGAAAAATTAATAAATGAAAATGTCATGTCCTAAAGTATAAATAAGAAATGTGAGATTTTTGTACCCAACGAAATGGAACAATATGAACCCAAAAACAACATAATCAGAATCCAGAGAAAATCTGACCTCTCCAAATCAAAACCTCCAATTCCAAGAACATATTCCAAGTCAACTTTTCCAAACTCAGTTCGTTTCAAATAAGCCATCCTATTTATGTGCTGCATTCACATGAACAATGTCAAGTTTATCTTGTCAAACTGAATTAGTACAATAAAAAAATTACAAAGCATGTTACAAAAGCCACTAGTATACCAACCTTTATCCGGTCCACCAACGAAGCAATTTGTGGCTCACTAACAAGATCAGTCTGATAACACCATAAATAAATATATTAGTTGGGTGTCAGAGAAACAAATTCGGTATCTGATATAGAATTTTATGTTACATTCTATTTCCAGAAGATACAGAAATGACTATGGGTGTTAGAGAAACAAATTTGGCATCTGATAAAGAATTTTATGGTCCATTCTATATTTCAGAAGATACAGAAATGAGACCGCATGAAGCAAGTGCATCAAAGACAAAAAAGGAAGCTCTTCTGAAAATTATTGAAGCCTGAGTGTAAATAGCTGTGATGTTAAATTGACTCCCACCAGAAGAAAACTTATTAGTGATCTCGGAAGCATGGGGAATTTATATAACTATGACAGCATGGCATCTTGCAGCCAAAGTAGGACATTCCCATGAAAAAATAGCAAAGTTAAGTACAAAAAAATAGATAAACTCACAGGTTCAGTCATTCAAGAATTTTAATATTCCATTTTGAACACACCAAAATCAACAAGTGCGAAACACGGACATAATCATTGTAAATACCTTATTCACTATGATACGATCAGCATAAGCAATTTGCTCTATTGCCTCATTGACAACTCCTTTTGGCTTAACCTCATCCAGATGAAAACCCGCATGTTTAGCATCAACCAATGTGACAACACCATCCAACTTTACTTCGTTAAAAATAGAATCCTCAGCATAAAATGTCTGAATGATTGGTGCTGGGTTTGCTAATCCTGAAAAGCAAAATTTAAAAAACACATAACATAAAAAATCAAAATTTTCAACAAATCCAGTTGATCAATTACATATTTGGGATATGACAAACTGCTAAAACTAATGAAAAGAATAATTAGTCTTAACACATATAATTAAATCACACACTTATGTTGTAAAGAACTTTCATACCTGTAGTTTCAATCACAATATGGTCAAATTTCCCTTTCTTTTTACTGACTAATTCTGCAATCATCCTCACAAGATCACCTCTTACTGTACAACACAAACAGCCATTGTTAAGCATAACTATATCCTCAGCCCCAGTAGTTTTGGCTGCAACTAGTGAACCATCAATGTCCACTTCACCAAACTGCAATTTCAATACAACAACACGAAATTATTCATCAATCCAAAACCCATTTAAATGTGTTCCTACAAACAAATTCAACTACTCTAATTGCATAACAAATGCACCAACTAAAACTCAACTTCATACCTCATTCTCAATAACAGCTATGCGCTTCCCATGATCTGCCGTCAAGATATGATTAAGCAGTGTCGTCTGTTATTAACCAACACAACCACCATCTCATTAGCCTATAAAATCTACTAGTGCTTTCAAAAGCAAAACTTCTGCTTTTCAAAGAATAATAGCAATAATAATTTGAATACTAAAAAACACCTACCATCAACACGCATTTTCTCCAAAGGTTCTTAAAAGCATTTTTCGGAAGTAAAATGATAAACAAAAAGTGGAGATAGAGTTAATTTCCTTTTCAAAGCGTTAGGAAGAGGTTTAGCGTTTGCCTGTAATCATTTGAATGAAGCTATTTGCACCCAAAAAAAAAAAAAAACACACACTCACACATCTACTATCAATACCCATTTTCTAAGCTAACTCGTTATAAAACTAGATTTTTTACTTACAGATAATTTCACAAGGTCAATAGATAAAATTTTACTCATTAATTGAATAAAAAATACATTGAAACCCAAAAACTGTGCTCAAAGTTGACAAGAATGAATCATTTCTAGAAATTTAATAACGTGAATGAATGTGTAAACTATTTATTAGCCCCATCAATAAAATTTTCTAATGACAAAAACACACAAGCGACATTTGTTCTAGTTCTTTCTTTACACTAAAGCTAATTTTACTAAAACTCTCAACAGCTCCCAAAAAATTCCACAATAATTCACATTTTCTAACCCTTTTTCACGCTTTATTCAAATTTATTCCCAAAAAAATAATAACTATTACCTTTCCAGAACCTAAAAAACCGGTAATAATCGTGGCGGGAATTCTATTATCTGGCGGGATTTTCGTCGCCACATCAGATTCATCGCTTGCCGTCGTAGCCGTCGCAGCGACTGAGAACCTACGGCTGGGTTTGGCGAAGTTAACGGCGATGAGTTTGGAGTGAAAAGAAGACGGCGTCGTTTTGAAAGATAAGTTCCGGGCTTGGGGTTTAAAGACAACGGGAAGGAGTGTGGTCGGAAGTTTGGAAAGCGTGGAGGTTTGTTGGCGAGAAGTGAAGGAGAAGAAGGTGGTGGCTATTTCCATTGAAAGCGAAGCCATTGTTACTGGATGAGATGAGATGGACAGGGTTTTTGGTTGAAGGGTTTTAGATAATTTGAGGAATTATGAAGAAGAGATTTTCGGCATCTAATGGGCCTACAGGTGGTCCATGGGCCCAACTTTTTTTATTTACTTTTATTTTTATGAATTTTTAGTAACTAAAATTAGTGAAATCTGGAGATTCACCGGACCGTTAACTTCAAGGTTATAGGAGACTAGTTAAGATACACATAAATTGATATAGATATATAAAAAAAAAAAAATTGGATAGATTAATTTTAGCTCTAAGGGTTTGAAGATAACACTTGCAATTTCTTTTTCGTTGATACGTCTTGTAATTTGTATTTAAATCCCTTCAATAGCTTTTTTTTGTTGATATGAAAAAAATAAAAAATAAAAACTTTATTCTTTAAGTGTGTCACTATAAATTCTGTAAGAATATTAGAGTGTTCATAAGGATTTTAAATTTATATAATAATAATATTTAGTTATTCTCGCAATTAAATTCTTTTCGTGCATTCATTTTTAATTCTTTGATATTTCGTAATCGATTTTCTATTAATAACTTTAGAAATCCTATCGTTGAATTTTACAATAAATGGAGCTTTATATTATTATAAATTTCATTATTATATCATTTTTGTTGATATTGATATTGAACTATAGAATTGGGCTATATATTTGGATGGTTTTGTGATTTATATCATTTTAATACCTTTATATTATTTAAATTAATTAAAATGAAAGTAAAAATAAAATAGTATAAGTACCATCAAATAAATGATTGATTAATTTAGATGAATTCTAACATCTCTATATTATTGAAATATTAGATTATAGATAATGAAAACTATATATATCTACATCCCAAGTATTAAAGTCAAGAAATTTCTACAAATACGTTCAAACCAACAACTCTGGACTTATATCATCATTTTCTTTTTAATGACAAAGAATGTTTAGGTCAGCTTACACGCACCTCAACTAATCCATGAGACTTTTGAATTATCGGCTAAGTAAGAGCTTTAATGATTATCCCTATTAGTACCGAGAAGAGACTCAAACTTGATACCTCGTGAGTAATACATCTAAAAGTCCCTATCAAATCACTCGGCCACCTAGAAGTAGTTTATATAATCATTTTCACATCAACCATCAAGATTAATTTCCACCCAATTTTCAATTTTAAGCTCTACAATTTGGATTTAATATTTCCTTGTTTATTAAATATAATAAATACCCATTTGATTCCAAATTAAATACTTCTTGTTTATCAATTATTAATTTAGTTGAATTCAAAATTTTCAACTAGAGGTGGAACAAATGGGCCGAGTTAGGCGGGTCAACCCTAACTCGGCCTAAGTATACCTCGTTGAGTAGGTTGGGCCTTCATAGGCCAACCCGACGACCTGGTGGGTTGTTTTCTCTTTTTTTTCAAACCCATCCAACCCGGCAGGTTGACTCACGGGTTGGCAACCGCCAACCTGGTGGGTTGGACAAAAAAAAAAAATTAAATATTTTTTTTTACAAAAACTCATCCTTCAAATATAGTAGTTGGAGGGGTCTTTTTGGTCATTTTTTTTCCATTTTTTTCTATAAATAAGGCCTAAACTCTCATATTTCCTCACATCCCAAATTCTCTCATTTTCTCTATTGAAATCTCTCAATCTCTTTGTTGTCAATTATCCTAGTCCCCCTAAATTTACTAACGTGAATACAGTAGATTCAAACAGTCTCGTTTTCCCATTCTTAAAATTCGATCGACCTCATAATATTGCGCCTCCCCCCCCCCCCTAATACTACTACAGCTCCCGGTGGTTCTAAAAGTCGTCTTCGTAATCGTCGTCCTCGTCTAACTCCATCTCAAGCAGAAGCGGGTTCCTCAACTGCAGTCAAAACCGATGATACACACACATTAGATGTTTGGGTGCATTTCGAAAAGTTTTACGAGACAAAAAATGGAGTTCAAGTGAAGAAAGCAAGATGCAAGTACTGTGGAAATATTTATAAAGCTGATGCAGGTAATGATACTAGTACTTTAAAAATGCATGTTACTAAACATATGAATTAACTTGGAAATAGAGAAACCAATCAAACTCAAATAACTAATATGAGTACTATTTGGCGTTATAATTCTGAAGTATATAGGGAACAATTAGCTTTATATATTGCTACAACTGATCAACCTATTAATATGGCTGAAGATAACTATTTTGAAAGATCTATTAAAAATTCATTTTTTCCAGGATTTAAAAGCTATTCTAAAACTGCAACTAGAAATGATTTAATAAAATTGTTTGGGAAAATAAAATTAGAATTAAGAAATAAAATACATAGTTGTCATGTTAGTGTGACTCTAACCACCGATATTTGGAGTGGTAGAGCTAGACACGATTATATTTGTGTGACTAGTCATTATTTTGATAACGAATGTAAATTAAATAAATCTTTATTGGGATTTAGATTAATGGATGTAGATCATAGTGGTCAACAAATTTATAATAAAATTGTTGAAGTTTTAGAAGATTATGATATTATTCACAAAGTGATAAGTTTAACTTTAGATAATGCAAGTGTTAACAGTAGAGCTATAATTTTTTTTAAACAAATTTTCCTTTTTATGACAATTTGAAGTTTTTTCACTAATGTTGTGAATGTCACATTATTAATTTAATTGTGAAAAGTGGTATGAAAAAAATTAGAAATAATATTGATAGAATTAGAGATTCTCTAGCTTAGATTACTAGTAGTAATAGAAAAAATAATGAATTTCAAGATGCTTATATAAAATCAAATATGTCTCCTAGAACTTTTACATTAGACGCCTATTAGATGGAATAGTACTTATTTAATGTTTGATTCATGTTTACCTTATGCAAATTTAATTAGTTATTTTGTAGCAAATAATAGGGGTCCTCATTATTTGGTAGACAGTGATTGGCATATAGCTCAAAAAATTCATTTCTTTTTTAAAAAAAAATTATCCATCTATGGTGTGTATTATCCTACTAATCCATTGGTAATACATACAATTATAAAAATTTCAGATTTATTTAAAAAAAAAAACAAAAATAATGAAATTTTAGCGGATCAATAAAGGCAATGGAATTAAAATTTAAAAAATATTAAAAACTCATTCCTTTTCTTTTTTGTTTAGCTACCATATTTGATCCTAGAATTAAATTAGCAGGTTTAGAAAATGGTTTAGACACGTTAACTGAAAATTTACGAGATGAAGCATATGTCAATCAACTAGGAGGGATAAGACAGTGTCTTGCAAATGTATATTTGTAATATGAAAACAGGTATGGGAACCAGCGAAGAGGCGAAATACTCGAGAAAATAGCATAGAAGACACAAATGAAGATTTCGACTTCTATAGTGTACTTAATAGGCCGAAGAGGACCCAACCTGCACAAAAATCTATCGGGTTAGAGTTGGCGGGTCGAGTTGGGCTAACACTTCTGGCTAAAGAGGCGGGTCAGGTTAGGCCTGGCCCGCAATTTGTCTTAACCCAGGTCGGTTAATTTTCCACCTTTATTTTCAACTTACATACCCAATTCTTTGATAATTTTTCTTTAACAAATAATTTGTAATTCGAATTCAAGCAATTATTATAAATTCTCAATTTAAACCTAAATGAACTCAAATTCAAGTTAACCATTATGGCCAATCTACCCAATTTCATTCCACCATCAGGAAGACTTGTCACTAACTAGTATTTTTTTAGAGTAAATGACTTTTTCCCACCTAAATGATGGTCTAATGATACTTCCCCACCCATGAACTTTTAAAATACCACTTTGCCACCGAAACTACCCAAATTTTATGATATTTCATTGTAAAGACAAAAATACTTTTATCTCATTTTCTTCCCTTCAGCCTCTTCCATTGCCGGCAAAAAGGAGGAATTACACCACCAGCAGCGCCAAAGCCACCCCATCAATGGTTTTGCTTCTCATTGTCTCTCCCCTTTCTTAGCCACGACAACAGAATCCAAATATTTAATATATGAATTGTAAATATCCGAGTTGCAAGGATTCTCAATGATTTCCAAGTAAATGCAATTCAATAGATTATCTCTTCTTCACAGTAAATTTGTCCTTCTAAGGCTTAAATGTCATCTCTACAGTAATCATCACCACCTAGAGGAAGGAATCCCTACCAAATTACACTAAAAATTCTATCCACCCAGCTTATTTATACAATATGGTTGCTGAGAAATTAATTTACGAGATCGATGAAGAAATCATTATGATTAAGAGGAAAAAGAAAAACACAATGCAATCATTGTTTCTACAAAGAAACTTCTATTAAGTTTATTAAAATCTGGCAAAGTTTAGATAATTCAAAAAACAACATATTGAAAACTGTGTATGGTGCTTCACTACAGAGAAGCAACTAGCATAATCATTTAATCCATCACTCTTCCTTATGCTTCTCTCCACCGCCGTTTTGGGTGGTTGACGATGACGATGGTGTGGGGTGCCTCGTCTTAGATCTAGAAAGAGTTGACATTTGTTGTGTTAACGGGTGGATATGGTAGATGGGAAAAGAGAAGAGAGAAAGCGGCCTGGTGCGATTGAGAGAGGAAAGAGACGAAGAGAAAGAAAGAAAAAGGAAGAAGAAAAGAGAGGAAGAAAGTTGTCTTTTGTAATTTTGATTTCAGAATTCAGATGCAAACATGGTAGTGGCTGTAATAACCCCGTTGGGGAAGCATTGGGGCACTTCATTTGGTAGCAAACATGGTAGCTTTAGACATAACTTTGGATGCCTTTGCGCATGTTCTTCCAATAAAAAATAGTGGCCATTCGCTTGAAGGTTCATAAAGCCCTAGCATGACCACCCACTGGACTATCATGGAACTCGGTAAGCAACTAAAAGCGGAGAAGGGAATCCTCAGGAATTACCAATCGGTTGCGCCAAAATAGTAACACATCACGCCCTGTATAATCAGGTATAGAGGTTGGAGCAGTAAGCAATTAGCTGTTGAATGGCCTGTAAGCTTGGATTAATAGTAATCTCCTGTT